GCGTGTCTCCACTAGACCTGCTAAATCAATGCCGCTGCATCATTTGCAGCAGTGCCAATTTAGCTCTGTGGTGAAGACAAGCGCAAAGAGTGAACTTATCCTGTCCCAGCGTCTTCAACACCAAAAATTGCTGCTGATGAAACTATTTGTTAATGATTTGGCTGCAGTCATTGCAGCTCAGACACAGCAAGTTAAACATTAATGTGTGAAGAGGTTTTTTTAAACTTATTTCTCTGCTTGTGTTTGAAAAGCAAAAATGCTGTCAGTAACAATAGTATGTAGATATTCAACCTTACTTCAGAAGTTATTGAGCTGCAAGCACTAAAAAGGAAAGACAGCAAACTGAGTCACATCCTATTTATATATGAGAAAATTTTAAGTACAGAAAATGGCAATGGGTAATTCTTCAAAACTGCAGCCCTTGGAGTATGGAGAGAAGACCAAAGAAAATTCAGGTAACCTGAATGCTTCGATAGTTTTTAAATTTGCCTGTGTAAGAGGATATACAGTTGATATTTGCTTAGTTACTATCAGTGAGCATTTCTTTGTGTAAATGGTAATGAGACCATTAGGACTATGTTCACCTGAAGTGCAGCTCTGTGAATCTAAGGTAATTAAACACCTCCAGTATGAAAGAGAAAGGGCAGTGAAGGTTAAGTGAGGAATAATCTGACGCACAGGTGGTGTAGAGCCTTTGAGAAGCAGGAAGAAAAGAGCCTCAGTTGATATCGACCATTTCAAAGGATGGAAATGTCACCATTGTCATTGGGAGATGCTTTTGTCATTTTTATAAGGTTTTTTTTTTTTACTTGAATAAAAACATTTCATTTAGAATTTCAGTTCAAGCTTTTAAAATACATTAAGGGATATGAGTGTGGTGACTCAGTCTGGATATCCTCAAAAATCTTTTATTTCATATTTGTACTATGTAATCAGGATTGGGAACCTATTGTGATAGGCGTTCTACATGCATGCAGAATTTATTCTTTACATATTTTAGCTTTTTTTAGAATAAACTTATATAAAGCTACATATCTATCCCAAAACGTTTATAAACCACTTATAAAATATTTGTGTCATTTCTTTTATATGGCAGGCATTAATATTAAACTTTATTCAGTACCATTCACAAAGAACAAAAAGAAAAAAAATCTTTAATAATCTGATACTTCAGCTCCAGAGAGAAAACACAGATCTTTGGGCCTGCTTATGATTTCTTGTTCCTGCACTAATTAACTAATGACCTTCTTGTCAAATGTTTTTCTATACTTGTTTTTATAGAATTACTCTAGGCAGGCAAAGGGACCATGTTGACAATTCTATATTGAATAAAAAGAGCATCTAAACTACAATATGTACTGTAATCCGGTCTGGCCAAAATAACAGGGATGATGTATCTTGTATAATGCCTCATCAAACGTTGTACATGACTTTTACAAATCCTTAATTCTTTCTCATCTCACGATATCATGCTCCCTTAATCTGACTTGAATTGTAACTAAATATCACCTGTGCATATTTGCCTCATACAGCAGCATTTTATCTTTCTTATGGTTGAAATGGTAGAGTAAAAAGTAGAGTTGGTCAGAAATTTTCCCAGTGAAACAATTTCATCGAAAAATGCCAATTTATGGAACCCCAAAAACACTTCAGGTTCTACAGATTTTTATCAAATCGCTATCAGAGTTCCAATAGAACTTTGTCTGGTTCCCTGCCAGCTCTGCTGGCAGGCTGCTGGGGAGCCTTCCAGGCGTCCAAGATCCATGGCTCCTGCGCAGGTCCACCATGTAGGCTTCCTGCCCTTGTAGGCTCCCTGCCACCAGAGCTGGGTGTGTGGAAGCCCTGGCTCAAACTATGGCTCTCAAGGTCTAGATTCCTGGCATCATAGTAGGGAGCCTGGAAGCAAAGTGACCCCTAATTCAAGCCAGAATTCTCAGGGCTTCCAGACTCCCTACTACTTAGCTAGACTCCCAGGCCATTTGGCTCCTTGGACCACCTGACTCTTGGGACATCTGGAGTTGGGCAGCCTGGGGAGTCAGCTGATCCAGGAATTTGGAAGTCATGAGGTTCCCAGTGCTGGAGCACTCACCGTGGCCAGGCTTCCCTAGAGTTGGTAGACCTGGGGATCCCTAGCAACTTCTTATCTGAATCATGTCGGTTTCACAGCTGCCCACTATTAAACAGCAGCAGTGAAATTTAAATACATCATGTCAGTTTCACTTAGCAGCTCCTAGTGATCCAGAGAGCTTTTGCTTTTTTTTAACAAACTCTCTGGTTGATTTCCCGCAAACTGGAAATGATGAATTTCAGCCAGGTCTAATTGAAATGCATGTTCTTTTGTGACAATGACATGCTTAGACCCTGAAGAAGACTAGCTCCTAGAGCATGTGGTGGTTGTAGGAGGCGCAGGGATATCTGCCCTGAGTCATTAGGGACTCCTCCTTTTGGAAATTTCAAAATAACATTTCAGCAGCATGCAGAGGCTCTTACAGATGCTAAAATGAAGCAAGAGGAACTGTCAATCCATTCAGCTGTGTGCATGTGTATGGGGACAATATAAATATAAAAATAAATAAATTGGTCTGTAGATTTTTTGTAATATCTGTCTCTTCCTACTAACTCGTTAGTTAGAAGAAACTAATTACAACTGTCCTCCATTGTTGTGTGAATTCCAGAACTGAAATAATTGCAGAGGCTTTCACTCGCCTTTGGTTTGGCTACAAAAAAAATTTTTAAGTACATCAGAAGCAGAAAGCCTGCCCAACAGTCAGTGGGGTCATTGGATGATCAGATTGCTAAGGGAGCACTCATGGAAGATAAGGCCATTGTGGAGAAGCTAAATGAATTATTTGCATTGGTCACTGCAGAGGATATTGGGGAGATCCCCACACCTAAGCCATTCTTTTTAGATGACAAATCGCAAGGAGCTTTCTCAGATTAAGATGTCAATTGAGGTTTTGGAGTAAATTGATAAACAGTAATAAATCACCAGGACCATACGATATTCATTCAAAAGTTCTGAAGGAACTCAAATATGAAATTCCGGAACTATTGACTGTGGTATGTAATGTGTTGCTTATATCAGCTTCTGTAAAAGATGACTGGAGGGTAGCTAATGTAACACCTATTTTTAAAAAAGGCTTCAGAGGTGATCTGGCAATTACAGGATGGTACGGCTAACTTCAGTCCCAGCAAATTGGTTGAAACTATAGTAAAAAACAAAATGATCAGACACATAGATAAAAACAATGTGTTGGGGATGAGACAACACAGCTTTTGTAAAGGGAAATCATGTCTCACCAATCTATTAGAATTTTTTAAGGGAGTCAACAAGCATGTGGACCAGGGTGATCCAGTTAGTATGGTGTACTTGGACTTTCAGAAAGCTTTGACAAAGTCGCTTATCAAAGGCTCTTAAGCAAACTAAGCCGCTATGGGATAAGAGGGAAGATCTTGTCATGAATCAGTAACTGGTTAAAAGATAGAAAATAAAGTGTAGGGTCAGTTTTCACAACGGAGAAAGGAATATAGCGGGGTCCCCCCAAGGATCTGTACTAGGATGAGTGCTATTCAACATATTCATAAATGATCTGGAAAAAGGGGTGAGCAGAGAGGTGTCAAAGTTTGCAGATGATACAAAATTACACAAGATAGTTCAGTCCAAAGCTGACTGCAAAGAATTACAAAGGGATCTCACTAGACTGAGCGACAAAATGGCAGATGAAATTCAGTGTTGAAAAGTGCAAAGTAGTGCACATGGGAAAAAATAATCCCAGGTAGACATACAGAATGTTGAGGTCTAAATTAGCTGCTACCACTCAAGAAAGAAATCTTGGAGTCATCATAGATAGTTCTCTGAAAACATCTGCTCAATTTGCAGCAGCAGTCAAAAAGGCTTACTGAATATTACGAACCATTAGGAAAGGGATAGATGATAAACCAGAATATATCATAATGCTACTATATAAATCCATGGCATGCCCACACCTTGAAAACTGCATGCACTTCTGGTCATCTCATCTTGAAAAAGATATATTAGAATTTGAAAAGGTGCAGAGAAGGGCAACCAAAATGATGAGGGGCATGGAACATCTTCCACATGAGGAGAGATTAAAAAGACTGGGAATGTTCAACTTAGAAAAGAGATTACTAATGGGTGATATGCTAGAGTTCTTTAAAATCAAGAATGATATGGAGAAAGTGAACAGGGAAGTGTTTATCCCTTCCCAGAATACAAGACCTAGGGTCACCCAATAACATTAACAGTCAGCGGTTTTAAACCGAACAAAAAAGAAGTATTTCTTCACACAGTGCACATTCAACCTTTGGAACATGTTGCCATGAGATGTTTTGAAGGCCAAAAGTACAAGTGGGTTCAAAAAAGAATGAGACAAATTCATGGAGAATAGGTCCATTAATGGCTATTAGCCAAGGTGCATAGGGATGCAACTCAATGCTCAAGGTGTCCCTAAACCTGCAGCTGCCAGAGGCAGGGACTGGGTGACAGGATGGATCATTTGATAAGTTTTCCTATTCTTTTGATTCCCTCTGAAACATCTGTTGCTGGTTGCAGTCAGAGACAGGATACTGGTCTCAATGACTGTTCTTATATGCTGAAAGTAAGGGAATGAAGTTCATTGGTGGGTCCTGAGGGGGAATATGTGCAACTATACAGACTGGACAAAAGGACACCAAAATCCTTATAGCTTTAAACATTTAACAATAAGTAAGGCAGGCTTCAAAAAACATGTCCTTATCTTCCTGCAGCCCTGCCTGCAGGCTTCCAAGCAGAATGTGATCATCTGCTAGTGGGCCAAAACAAGTAGCTGAAAATGCAATTTTCCTAGGACTGAAAACTCCAGGTTTGTACTCTGTGTCATTCTTTCTCACACGTGCAGCAGATGCTGGGACACTTGGTGAAACTTCTTTGGCTAGTTCCCAGTTCAGTAAGTTGTTTGTTTATGCTATGAGGATGATCTAGGACTGTTGTGTACTTACAGGTTTCTGCACTCAAGAACAGATTAAAGAAAGTCTCCACAACTACTGGGGATGGTGTGGCAAGAGCATTCCTAAAAGCGCAGGCCTCTTTCTTTGGGAGCTACAGAAATGCACTGAAAATTGAACCCGTAAGTAGGACATCAATATGTTAATATAAATGCAGATGTATCGCGGTGGTGGAAATTGCCCGTAAGATGTTTGTATGCATAAGGAATGGGGTGGTGAATAATGCCAAGAATATTATAAGAGCTGTCAAGTGATTAAAAAAATTAATTGCGATTAATCACACAATCGCACTGTTAAACAATAATAGAATACAATTTATTTAAATATTTTTGGATGTTTTCTACATTTTCAAATATATTGATTTAAATTACAACACAATACAAAGTGTTCAGTGTTCACTTTATATTTATTTTTGATTACAAATATTTGCATTGTAAAAAAAAAGAAATAGTATTTTTCAATTCACCTAATACAAGTACTGTAGTGCAATCTCTTTATCGTGAAAGTTGAATTTACTAACTTAGAATTATGTACCAAAAAAATGCATTCAAAAACAAAACAATGTAAAACTTTAGCACCTACAAGTCCACTCAGTCCCATTTCTTGTTTAGCCAGTCGCTCAGACAAACAAGTTTGTTTCCATTTGCAGGAGATAATGCTGCCCTCTTCTTGTTTACAATGTCACCTGAAAATGAGAACAGGCATTCGCATGGCACTGTTGTAGCTGGCGTTGCAAGGTATTTACATGCCAGATGCACTAAAGATTCATATGTCCCTTCATGCTTCAACCACCATTCCAGAGGACATGCATCCATGCTGATGAGGGGTTCTGCTCAATAACAATCCAAAGCAGTGCGGACCAACACATGTTCATTTTCATCATCTGAGTCAGATGCTTCCTGCAGAAGGTTGATTTTCTTTTTTGATGGTTCAGGTTCTGTAGTTTCTGCAAAAGTGTGTTACTCTTTTAAGACTTTTAAAAGCATGTTCCACATCTTGTTCCTCTCAGATTTTGGAAGGCACTTCAGATTCTTAAACTTTAGGTCGAGTTCTGTAGCTATATTTAGACATCTCACATTGGTACCTTCATTGCGTTTTGTCAAATCTGCAGTGAAAGTGTTCTTAAAATGAACAACATGTGCTGGGTCATCATTCAAGATTGCTATAACACGAAATGTATGGCAGAATGCGGGTAAAACAGATCAGGAGACATACAGTTCTCCCCCAAGGAGTTCGGTAACTAAGTAATTAATGTGTTTGGTTTTTTTAACAAGCATCATCAGCATGGAAGCATGTCTTCTGAAATGGTGGCCGAAGCATGAAGGGGCATACGAATGTTTAGCATATCTGGCTTGGAAATACCTTGCAATGTTGGCTACGAAAGTGCCATGCGAATGCCTGTTCTCTCTTTCAGGTGACATTGTAAATAAGAAGTGGGCAGCATTATCTCCTGTGAATGTAAACAAACTTGTTTGTCTCAGCAATTGGCCGAACAAGAAGTAGGACTGAGTGGACTTGTAGGAGCTAAAGCTTTACATTGTTTTCTTTTTAAGTTCAGTTATGTAACAACAAAATCTACATTTGTAAATTGCACTTTCATGTTAAAGAGATTGCACTACAGTACTTGTATGAGGTGAATTGAAAAATACTATTTCTTTTGTTTATCATTTTTACAGTGCAAATATTTGTAATAAAAAATAATATATAGTGAACACTGTACACTTAGTATTCTGTGTTGTAATTGAAATCAATATATTTTAAAATGTAGAAAAACATCCAAAAATATTTAATAAATTTCAATTGTTATTCTACTGAGTAGAAGAGTGCGATTAAAACTGTGATTAATCATGGTTCATTTTTTTAATCACAATTAATTTTTTTTAGTTAATCACGTGAGTTAACTCCAATTAATTAACAGCCCTAATTATAAGGCTTTTATGTAAATCAGTAATGCAGACTCAGCTGGAATGCTGCATGCGGTATTGGTCACTGAATCTCAGAAAGGATGTTGTGGAAATAGAAGAAGAAGAAGAAGAGATAAAGGGCCTGGAAGAGAGATAAAGGGCCTGGAAGAAGTCTTGTATAAAGAGAACTTGAAAAGAATTAGGTTTATTTACTTTAGAAAGGAGATGATTAAGAGGGGACATGATAGAAGTATGTAAAATAATAAATGGTGTGGAAAAGGTAGATTAGGAACTTCTGTTCACCCTGTCTCATAACAAAAAAATAAGGGGATATTCACTGAAATTTAAAAGGTGGAAAATTTAAAACAAATAAAAAGAAATACTTTTTCACACCACATATACTTGCACTGTGGAACTCATTGCCACAGTAAGGCATTGAGACCAAGAATGTAGCAAAATTCAAAAGGAGATTGGATATTTATATGGATAGCAACAATAGCCAGAGTCGTTATACTTAATGACAAAAAAGTTTTGAAGGGATATTAATCCTACTTCAGGGATTAAGCCAATCTCTATCTATTATAGACCAGGAGGAGACCTATGTGGGAGCAGTGGGGTTCTTGTACTGTCTTCTGAAGCATTTGGCACAGACCACAGTCAGAGACACTTTACTGGACTAGATTGACCTCAGATCTGATCCAGTCTGGCAGTACCTCTATTCCCATGTAAGGGTTTTATGAAGCTCTTGTCATGGTGATTGGCCTCCCCTGAAGACAGAATATGAATGTAGTCCTATTGGCCCATGACAGATAGGGACTGTGTAGATGATATTATGAACAAGTTAGCGATAATGCACAAGGTTTGAGCCGGAAGGTACACAGAGGATGGAAGGGGCTAATAGCTTAATGATCCATAGAATATCTCTAACAGTCTTAGTGAGAGTGCAATTCCCTTCCTCAAAACAGAGTAGACTACCACACAGGTAAATTAAAGCAAAATGTGGGGGATATTTTTTACCTGATGTTCAGGCACTCATTAAGGCCACTGCAGTTTAGACTAATGGGAGGTGCACAAGAAAATCCCTGCTGAGTGGAGAATGTACCTTTTGCCTTAATGCTTTCATCCATGATTGTGTTTCCTTGAGCATTCAAGGATCAGAATGGAGAATTGGTGGCTGCGGTGAGGAGCAGGAATAATATAGCGAGAGGCGGAGTTGAAGTAATGGGAGATGGATGGGTTAGTGATGACTCAAGAAAGGGTGCTGTCTTCTGCATTCTGTCTCTGGGGATGAATATAGAATTCTGGTATGCAGGCATGTAAACACATTTCACACACACTGTTTGTTAGAACAAAAGACAGAATTTGGGATCAGATATAGTTTTTTTATTTCCTTATATTTTCCCTGTTCAGAAACCCATTACAGCCCCTTCATTTCTGCACTTAATATTTTGCATACTATGAATTATTTGTGGATTTTCATAAAGCTGGAGGGAAGGAAGTAGCTTGATCAGATTTTTAAATAGTCTGTCCAACATCCTCAATGAATGAGCATCATTCCACTCAGACATATTCACTGTTAAAAAATAACGCTATTGAACAGAGCTGACCTGAGTCTGTTTCTCCTATTCTGATAGCAAGGATATTTGTATGGTATGTGTATAAATATAAATGCATTTGATCTATCTGTGTAGGGCTCTCATAAAAGTATCAAGTGTGAATGGTATGTGCTTTTTAAAGTACCAAATATTAACTAACAGGAGCTACTTTAATTCCCATCCATATAATTAACAAAAGTGAAAGCAGCAAGGCAGCCTGGCTGTAAGCCTCCTTTATCCATGTCAAGCAGTCACCGACTTCCCCTCATTCGTTTAGGCCTTTCTTGCTCTCTGACACTCCTCCCACTAGTTGCCAGGCAACTCTAGGAGTATTGGTGTGCGTGCTGCTTGGATATGTGTGAGGGATTAACTAGTTAAGGTTGGGGTTTTTATGAAGAAGAATAAATTTTTAAATTGCTTTACTGGGAATAACATCTGGTATTTTGAAGGCTGAATGTTACAGATGAGATATCAAAATTGGTTGATGATGACACACACCTTTTGAAACTACAATTCCCGCTTTTAGGGAGAGCTAATGTGAACAAGTAAAAAGCCTCATTTGGTATGCACATTATTCCCAGAAACAGAAACTCTAAACATAATTGAAAAGTCCTGTTGTACAAATCTGTTTTAAAAACCCTATTTTGTAAGAGATTCTTAGTCTGATCTCAAAGATCAGGGAATATGAAGGAACAGCGATTTCTAAGTCCTTATATGCGTGATCTCATAGCAGTATAACATTTTTGATGCTGTAACAGAGATGTTATATGAAAACAGAGCAGCTTTGTATACTAGAACCACCTCGATGGAGTTGGCTAGAATGCTATGTTCAAATCCCACACTTTTCAAACTGTCTTGATGGACTGGTGATTAAAGCATAGGTCTAGGAGTCAGGTGACCTGGATTCTGTTACCAGTTCTGCCAAGGACTTCCTGCATACTCCTGTCCCAGTCATACACTCCATGAATGTCTCAGGGTTTCTTCTGTAAAATACTGATAACTTATCTACTTCAGTGGAGAGGGATGGTTTTGAGGGGTGCAGTCCATTGGGAATTAGTTCAAATTCTATTGGGAAAAACTTTAAATTTTGCCTGATGCATAGTGAATGTCAGAGTGCAGCACATAATTCCAGACTGACCACCCATACAGTCAAACTGTGAATAGATTGACACCTCTCTTTGAACCGTTATGGGCCCAATCTCTGTTTATAAGAGCACAAGCATAAGTAAGAAACAAGCAAGGAGATTCAGAAGAGTTGCCAGTCAGCTTTAGAAAATTCTCCTTTCTCAACATCTTGATCACCTCTCAAGCCTATTTCATTCACTCAGACATCATCCATGTGGTCTGGTCAAGGCAGGAGCTTAGTTTCTTGTGCTGCACTACTGAGACATCTTCAGCTGCTGAATCGCATTTTGGTTTGGCAAGAGTCCAACAGAGGTTTGTGGACTGGAAGAACCCTGCACCCGAAAAAGCTCTTCATAGCAACATTTCCAAATGAGGAAAGTTTTAGTTTTAATTCACATTTGCTATAGTTAACTTTCAAAACTATTTAACAGTGTCAAATTAAATTGTTCTGGGTGTTTTGAAATAAATTGAAAAGCAAATGCAAGAAGCAGCTTTAGG